ATATCATAATATCTCTGGTTTCATGATCGACAGTTGACTGTACTCTATATGACTCTGAAATTAATAGGAAGAAATACCTTGATTTATCTGGTGTTTAATTTGGTGGATTAGCTAAAAACAGGTATTTTCCATCTCATCAATTTGATAATTTCTCAATTGATTTTACAGAAAATGTACTATATCCCAATATACTGATGCTGCAATATTCAGTTTTATAAGCCATGATAGAGGCTTTTAGCCAAACCTCCCCCTCCTGGAGAGGAACCCAGTGGTTGATGATGTACAGACTGCAGTGTTTGAAGGTTTTCTTGGAAAATGACTTACTTTCTTAGTATCCTTTTTTTCCGCTGTGGTAGACACAGGAGAGACAAGTTTTGATTTACCCATATGTGGCTGTTACTGGGCTTTGTTTATTTTCCATTACACTATTCAATATAATGGCAATCTCACTTTAAGCCCATGATTGATTTCTACTGTGTCATCCTGAGGGGGTGTTTTAACCTTTCACTCTTCTCATTTTGATGTATGAGCCTGTGTTTTTCATTCAGAATCTCCAAGCTTGGACCCATCTGAGTTTCTGTCAGTTTGATACATTACTCACACTCCCGGTAACCCTCCATGTTGAAATTGTCTGTCTCCATAAGCCTCTGTACTACTGACCATCTAGTATGTGCGAGCAAATGTGACTGTAAATCAGTGATCACTACAGTGAATCAATATATATCTCTTATAGAAATAGTAATGCCTGCCAACGATGAAACGAAGGAGGAAAAATACAGGGAGTCTCCCATGTTCAAGGCTTCCCCGGGTTGTGGTTTGTCTAGTCTCGAGACAATAGATCTGGCAGTAGCTGACCACAGCTGTGTTTGTGCTGGTTTGATGTACTGGAGTAATTCCCCCCTTCCTCCAGCTGACCCTCTGGACTGAGCCAGGTCGTCCCCGAGGGGCTGAGGGCAGCCAGGGGCAGAGGAGGGAGGAGGGAGGAGGAGGAGGAGGAGGAGGTGGTGGAGGCAGGTGAGTGCAGACTGCAGACTAACTTCTCCCTCAACTCTTTAATCCTGTGTTATCTTTTCTGTTTAGTCTGCAGGGGTCTGGACAAAAAAAATAAAAAATATCAAGTGATAATTATCAGATCCAGAAAAGCCAAGTCGACAATTGCATCTTAGGCAGATTTTGTCCCTGAATTATCTTAGAGGAGAATTTGTGAGGAATGCATCAGTCGAGGCCGTGATAGAGGAGTGTTGCGCCATCAGTTAGAGGAAAAATCCACCCTCAGATACACTTACACTGATTTCATCAATTTAATGCACTCCAGGTTTTACCGCATGCTCAAGTGTTCCAGTCGAGTTTCAATTTACTCACGTTCCTGTCAATGTGCAGACTATTCCTACATTAGTGAGTAATTTCCCTCATATTTCACAACAACTGTAACGACAGCTGCCAGCAAATTGGTTTTAACTTGATGCATTTACTTTTGGTTGTGACTCATTTCTTGCTGTATGATTGTCAAATTCAAGACATCCAGACCAGACCATCACGGTTGGTGTTTCAGAAACACCAGCAGTGAATATTCATCAGCAGTTAGTTGCATTAGGAATATGAAAACAAGGCATCAAGGTTGGGCTGGTGATCCATGTGAGTAAGAAAGCTACAAAGCAACATGATGGCCTACAAAACGCCGAATTTAATATGTATAAGAAGGGATTTTGCCTTTAAGACACAAACCGTGTATTTCCCACATTTGTACTTTTGACTGGCATGTTGTTTGGATGTGGTGCATCATTATTCATTTCATCTGTTCTCCAGCCCCTAGAGGCATTCATGAGTTCTTATGTACAGTATTTGATAGAACATGTCAAGGAGCACACAAGAACTGACATGAACACCTAATATGTCCCATTCACCCACCCTCGCTCTCCCCCTCCCCGGCTTGTTGGTCAGTCACGCTGGGTGTCTCCCGGTGGCTCCAGCCAGGTGATCTGACCAGGAATGCACCTCACCCTTTGGCCTTTCAGGGGTAACCAAGCATGTCCGGCGGGGCTTTTCTTTCCTGTCTCTTCTGCCTCCACATGAAAGAGACCCAATTTTTGTCTGGCAGGGGGAATCATTCTTCAAAAAGAAGTGGGAGGTTAGTGGGGGAAAGAATCTCTGCTTCTTCTATCGCAGCAGTTCAGTTCGTGTTTTATGATGTGCTGTGCAGACGCTGTGGAAATTGTTTGCCTCCCTCATAGAATACACATGGCGCTTTGTTGTTCTGGTGTGTGGAAAAAAAAAAAAAAAGGTCACTGACTCATGAACTAAAAATTCCCAAATTTTTGATATACGTGGAAATTCCCAAGTTTTATCTCGCTAACTCATCCCCATGAAAACAATACAAAAAGAACAACTTGTATCAAGTGTCTTCCCTGGCACACACACATGAACCATCGCTGAGTGGCACAAACAGAGGGGTGAGTGTGTTGAGAAAGGTCCCTCAGCCTGTTATGTTTTTGTCAGCCAGGCCCGACTGGACTGACCTTCTCAACTGTCAGAGAGGCTGTGAAACACTGGGACCTGCTTTAGGTTTGCACCTGTTGGGAACGTGAAGGATTTAAACAAATGGAGTCAGATGCCTCTGAGATAACTGCGACTGAGTAAACACTTAGATATGAGAGAGCGATCGCTGTTTTACTGCCTTCACTTCTCTGTATCTGTCTTTTATTCTATTGCAATCATCCTGTCATCCTCCACTGTTTCCTGCTCAAGTCGTCATCCCTCCTCTCACTTTGTGCCTAGTTTAGTCATCGTCACCCCATAACTGCACTTTTTTATCACTAGTTAATGATTTCTTAGTCACTATGCTATAGAGAATGAAGGCAGAAAGAGTAAATGGTGAACTGACATGCAACGAAGGTCACAGGGCAGCAGGTTCAAATCCTCAGCTGGCAACAGGCTCTGTTTCATGAGTTCATGGAGGTGCACAGTGAGCTGGATTCAGTGCGGGCTATTGTGTAACCTGCCCGTGTTGAGGCTTGAGCATGATTAGGATCTTATCTGGATGGAACGAGGCATGCACTCACGGTCGAGTTACACCAAAATGACATGGTTTTTAAGGGATTAAAGAGCACCCTAAATTTACATGACACCAGCTCACACTAGATATCTGGAATCTTCCACTCTGAACTGAGCCGGGCCACAGGGGTTGTCTGTTTGTGTAGCAGCAGAGAATGGTGGTTCACCTGCTTTTGATGTTAAAGGAGGGCGTCTTAACTGATGTGCTGTGATGTATAGTGGGATGTGGTGGGTTATGGTGGGGACGGGGGATGACTCCTCTCCTTTCAACATCTCATTGCTTTGTACTTGAAGCCACCTGTGCTGCCTCAGTGTAGCTGCTGTAAAGGAAAGGTAGAAACCTCAGAATGATGATGATGGACACTTGGACACAGTTTTAAGGCGGTTGAATATGATTTCATTTTATGAATATATTTTTTTAAATAAGGAATATGTTTGCAAATTTTATGTGCTGTTGATGACATAAGTGTTTTGGCACAATGCAGTTTAGAGAAGGAAATCTTCCAGACCACTTCACGTTTTAATTTCAAACAAATTCAATGATATTCATGTAGGCTAGCCTCTAAAAGTAAATATTTGATAAGGTATAGTACAAAGTAATGGAGCTCTTTTCGCATTTATTTAAAATTATATATTCCTTAAAGCCTTTAAGGTTTTTTAAAAGTTTCTTTTTCTGTTTTCTTGCCTTTTACTGTCCCAGCATTTGTTTTTGCAGAGAAGGAAATAAGGTGGATAAATAGACCACGACTAAGTACATTATGGCTTCCAGTTTCTCACTGCACATATACACTGTTTTTTTTTTAAAACTTTTTGTATCATTTCAATTTTTACATATTAGCTACTATACTTTATGTTTTCTGTATGAAAATCCTTATTTAAACATATTCTGTGGTAAATCGTTTGGGGAGTGTACTTTTTCCATTCGTGTTTAGTCAGTCAACAAGCTGCGAAGACTGAGATATGACAGCTGCTGGCTTTCATCCCTCAAACCTTGAGGTCATTCGCACAGGACGTGGTCTGCAGTGTATCAGTGTCACTCACAAACATCATTAACATTAACATACACATCCTTGCCACTCAGTGTTTCTCATATCCATTCTGCTACTATCAACAGTTAACTGTCCCTTTTCTGGTGTGTTTATGTTAGACACATTTCTCAGGAAGTGGGTAGCATTCCTGCGCCGATTATTTTATTCGAATACACAGACCTCATCTATCATTTTAGCTTTAATAGTGAGAGCTCTCTCTAATGACAGGATGTGCATGGGAACAGTCTGTTCCTCTAAGTCTGCTCTGCTTTCCTCTGATGAACCAACTTTAGCAATTATACAATATTTCAAGTGCAGTCTGAATTACGAGTCCAATTTTAAGAAAAGTTCATTTTTTTCTGCAGGAACGGCCTCAGAGTGAAAAGCGAGGCCAGCTGTGTAATCGAGGTTGTCTGTGACTGACTGACTGGTCAGCCGAATGCCATGTGACTGAGATGGAGTTTCCCAATTTAGCCTAACTGTCACTAGATTTAGAAACTTTTTTTCAAACACAACTAGGTATAAATCTAGTATATGACTTGTATGGGTGTCAACTGTGGGCTTAGAGTAACACATGAATTTTGTCAAAACTTTTTCTAATTTTCTAATCATGAAGATGTTTCACATTGTTTCTGTACAAATGTGAAAATCTAGTTAATGCGTATGAAAGACTGACCTACCAGTGTTTCTTGTTGAGGTTGCATTGGAGAGATAAGGAAATACTAAGCAAACACTTTGTTCTTTCAGTTACTTCTCCCGTGTCTTTAACTAACTTCATCAGCTTCATCTTTGTGCTATTAAGGCTTCTATATGTTATTGGACCAGTTGTACAGTAATCGTAAAACACAGTGCCAATGTCTGTTCTGGTATTGATTCTAATAAAGTCTTTCTTCCCCTCCCTCTCTGTTTCCTTCTCTTTAGCTGAAGCAGCCTGACAAGGCAGCAGCGGCAGCTCACACCTATTTCCAGGCTAATCCAGAACATGTGGAGATGGGTCAGAACCTGGAGCAGTACAAAGACCTGCAGGGCGTTGAGGAGGACCACTTTGTAGACCGAGAAGCCCGGCCTCACCAGGTAAACCAGGATATCTGATTTGATGAGTTTCAATGTATAATAGACGCAGCGAGTTCCCTCTTTTGTTATGAGTTATTTTTCCCTTTTCTGTCTCTTTTTCAGGCCTCTTACATGTTAATGCTACAGTTAATGACCTGTTGCACTTTGGCCAGTGATTCTCGTTATTCTACATCACTTCTTTCCAAAAGGGAAAAGTACAGATGTTCTCATATATGAAGGGCCCCTTTGTGTTAATAGCCCTTGCAATTTAACGACTGGAAACTCATTTGGGCCTTTCAGTGCTGGCTGTGGTGAAGACCTGAATGCCAAACAGTTTTGGATCCTTTGTCTGCTGCTCCAGTATCTGTCTGCTCTTTCTCTCTTTTGCCTTTGTCTCTATATCTTCAAGTATTAAACATACTCTGAGTATGTAGGAAGACTCACTCAATGCAAATCTACCTTAAAAAGATTTTAAACTGTCATTCATGCCGACTGTACCTTAATTAAAGCTTTCAACATTATTGATAATTTAACTTATCTGTGTCTCTGCGACTTCGCTTATTACTTAGCTTTTCTGTATTTTGTATTCAGGTATGCAACATTCTAGTCCAAAGCAAATATTCTTTGGAGACACTATATTCATGTATATAACACACATTATTTTAGATTTATCCAAAAACAATTGAGAGCAGTAATCCTTGGTGGCAACTGTTTCCTGTCCTCCTGTTTATTCTAAACAAATGACCGTTGCTGCTGCAGGAAACTTGATGTGCACCAAAGGGCTTGTAAAAGCTTTTATGAGCTGGCTACAAGTTTACTTACAGTATTTTAACTGTTTCAGAGAAAAACAAGCAGCGATTTACTTATGTATAAATGTCAAGGATGAACACCAAAGGTCATAAATACTGATCCAGTCTTTCTCATCATCTTCCATTTCTCCTCCATCCACATGCAGCACTCGTTCACAGCAGCCGTGAGGTTGTATGATAAGGGCGACTATGAGAGTGCTATCGCTCTGTTTGAGGATGCTTTGCTGGAGTACTATAAAGCAGATGTGGAGTGTCGGGCCCTATGCCAAGGGCCGCAGAGGTTTGAGGGCCACGATCACCTCCGCTACCGCTACAGCCTCCATGAACTCATATCAGGTAAGAGCCAAAACTAACAAGAACATGTGTTTACTTCAACAGGAAACAGTTTTATCCTCCAGTAGCACAGAACATGCCTGATTCTGATGCGTCCCTTACAATCTAAGATGAACGAAGTGAGATCGTTTAGTATCGTGACTGCTCCACCAACGCGCCTGGCTGTACTGCATGGCCCCTGAGCTGGAGCTGGGCTTTGTTGTGCTTGAGAGAGCCTGGGGAGGTTTAGGCAAGGCCAAACAGAACTCTTCATGCTCACAAGGTGATCAAATCTGCCTGGCAGTGGCTTGGCACTGGATGGAAGTTGGCTCTGGCTGGATGCGGGCAGATGAGGGATAAAAGTCATGTTTGGACTGGAGGATGTACAGAAAATAAGAAAGACAGAAATGAGAAAAGGAGTCACTGTCATGGATGAAATCAATGCAGGTTCCTATTAGTCCATAACCATTCTGTTGCACATGAAAAAGCATTTAAAACACATGTAGTACAGCAGAGTTCTTGTAATGGAAAAACGTAAAGAAGTGAGTTGTGTTTAATTTTATGTATGTATTTTATTATTATGATGTATTAGGAATATAAACTGTGGGTGCATCTTGGTGGTCTAGTGGTTAAGTTGCATACCATCATGGAGAGCACAACAATCTTTTTAATGTGAAAAAAAGGCCTGAAATAAAAAATAAAAATATAGTTTAAAAAGAAATATAGATCATCACACTCGAGCTTAAACCTTGTTTTCATCAGTCGCCAAGCTTCTCCTGGCACTGCACATATAGAAATACAGAGATTCATATTTCATTGTTATTGCATTGGATTGAATTTCTTGGTGATAAAAATGTGTAAATAAATGTCAAACTGTGAAAGCTTCGGGACAGATTCAAAGGTACAAATCTGAGCAAGGCACATACCGTGTAATCTGTGGTTAAAAAAAAAAAAAATTTCAGAACACTTAGTAAGCACAAGCAAGCAACACAGACATCATGTCCCCTACGCACATTTCGAAAGACTTTGTCCCACAAACTTCCGTGAGTTTTTTTATTGTTGTATGATTTAGCACAGCACTGGGGTCTTGGATTATTAAATCAACTGGAAAAGAGCATGCAGAAAAGAATGAAGAATTCAGAGCGTATTCCAGATTTGAGGGTTTATGGTTTTACTTATCAAATTCATCTGTGCTTTCTGTGTTGTGTGCAATCAAACTGTTTTAATAGGTAACCCTACATTGCAGTGTTAAGATGTTAAGTCCCTAGAGTATATCACATGCAGACGCAGCTAGGAAAGATTTTACACAGTCTCTTAAAAATAAATGAAATAATAAAAAATAAAAAAATAGAAAACAAAAGAAAGTAAGACAAAGCAGGCCCCAGTTGGCGCTGATGTGTTGAATGATATTCTCTGCTGTTCAAAACTATTAGCTGAACTGTACACAGTTAGCTCTGGGATTTGGTAGACATGCTCCATTACTGTCCTCGACAGTCCAGGAAAACATCCTGAACCAGGGCCAGGAGAGCCGCCTGAGTGCACCCGAAATCCCCCGATTCACTACAAGCCTGCCTCCTCTTCTTTTGTCTCTTCTTCTCCTTCTTCTCTCTTTGACCTCACTTAACCTTGTTTCCTTACTGCAGTAGGATAACTGCAGTGTTTTTTTCTTGGCGTCTTTTCTTAAAGGGACATGCTGGTATTTTTGCATGTTTCAGCTCATTGACTACAAATTACATGAAGTCAGTCCAGTTAGAAACACAAAATAAATTTGAACATTTTCCAGTTCGGTGCATTCAGATTCTGAGTCAGAGCCTTGTATAACCAAGTTTTTGCTACGCAAATATTTTCTGTGCTAAAGCTACTTAATTAATATTTTTTGTTTTCACAGTGTCTCTGTTTACTTTTTTTATCTTTTGAGTTTGTTTGTCTGACTAATGCAACACTATTTGGAAGTTTGAGAGCTTCCTTCTTGCACTCAAACACACCACCAGTCCATACTTTTAGCTCGAGTGCATTTATTGTCATTGATATAAAACAAACATTGACAGATTTTGTGTAATATATATAAATTTGGATTTCAAGCAGTATTCAAGTTATACAAGTTAATGCTCAGTGTCCATTTTATTAGATACTCCTCTACAGTTGAAATCTAAGTGAATTTCTGACAATGTCAAAACCTGAAGAGAATGAGCTTCAAGAGGTAGAATGTATGGCAATAGGATTACATTAGTTTGTGCAGGTGTATTTAAGAAAGAGTGGCCACTTCTGCCAAAGTCCTCCGGGACAGCAGTAGCAGTAGTAAAAAAAAAAAAAAAGAATAAAACATGCAGGAGCACGGCTCTAACTGCCTCTTCTTCACACCTGCATCTCTCCCAGTCTCCGCAGCCCTGTTTCTCTCCCTCCTTCTGCTGCCTCTGCTGCTCTCTGTGTCCTGGACAGAACAGAGCAGCTCAATGAGGTCACTGTAAGACAACTACAACTCTAGAGCAACCACTGGCATTCATTAAACTGACAGTTACAGAGAAGAGCCTCTGCATTATTTTATAAGTGTTAGTCACGCAGTCGTAATGAGCTTCATAAATAACAGGCACTAATCTAATCTCACATTTCATGTCATGTGTTATCATTTTAGTTTGTTTACAACACGGTGCGGAGCCAGTACTGTAGGTGTCTGTGTTGACTTTAACAGTACGGGATGTGTGATGTGGAGGGATGTGTATTTGTATCCACAGCAAAACACTTGCAGCAGATGATAAGCAGGCGATTTATATTTGCACCAGTTTTGATCAGGGTTGCTTTTGTTAACACAAGTCAGGCCTTTTTTTCTGGAAACTGAAGCAGGTTGTGCGCAGTAGCCGCAGCTTAATTGCTGACAAGTGTGCTTTGTCTCAAATATGTATGGCCCGGTTGCAAAAACACTGAAAAAATGGCTAACTAGTTTTGGCTGGGCTTTGTTTTACTTACAATCAGTGGGTTATTTTCCAGTAACACTGTGGTAGAGACTGTGATTATTATGTTTACTTGTGTTAAGATGTATGTATGTATGTGTGTTTTTGAGTGTAATATATTCTGTTTTGTGAGTCGAAAAAGGATTTGATAGAGTTATACTATTTTGTATACAGGCTCCACTGACCCAGAAACAGCTTTACATTACGCCATGATTATATCCTAACACAATTCAGATCCATGCTCCGCTTGAGACTCTTGGAAGACATTGAAACAGACCACAACTCTGGTGTCTGAGAGTGAGGAGAGGTAGTGCTGCAGCTGCTCAAAAGTGACCTCACTATACATACACGCTCACAACACACAAACACACAAGCGTGCCATCATCCACTCTGCTGCCTGTCCTCTTGGGGTTCGACATAAGGAAATGATATGTAGCACCATGTGAAATCTGTCTCCCCTTAAGGATCAACAAACCTCAGGATCTATCACCACCTGAGGAGCAACAAAGACATGAAAGGCCTGCACTGTTATGAAGGGAACAGCATTTATTTGATGTATTTCACAGCAACAAGGAATCATATGATGTTGGACTGGCTTTATTTCAGCTAAAACTGGACAACAGGAAACAAGAGACATTTTCTACCAATGACGAACTTTCAGGCCAGTTTCTCAGCATCTGGTTTATATACAGTTCATCAGTATCATCAGTAGACACATTATTATATGCTCTTGTGTTTATTGAGAATCTACATAGTAAACATTACACGAATAATATTTTATCAGCTAATTGGTGTAGAGTGACACGTCATGTTGGCGTTCATGTAGTTTTTGTTTCTCACACTCCATCGATCTTCATTTCTGATCCTTCAGACATTTAATAATTCATTATTTCCAGCTTTTTTTTCTTTTTTTTGATATCACACAGATGACCACAGGAGAATTAATGACTGTGGGCGTGAGACCATAATATAATGGTGACCATATTGCATCGTTGCATAAATTAGCACCAGACCACACAGGATTTTAATTGTGTGTAAAGGACTGGCAGTGATTTTCTGTTCTGAACTATGAACTAAATTATTTCATAGATGCGGTTATTTGCAAGGACAAATGACAATATGTTTTTAGTTTAAAAAAGAAATAAAAAAAGAATAAAAGACCACTGATTTTTCAAGGCTTGCTTAAGATCTTTTTGTTTTGATTTTGGTTGAATATGGTTTACTGCAGGTGGATGCTGATATAGATATTTTTGGAATGAATGTGTCAATTTGCTAATATTCATTACATCCTTCCAAAAAATTAAAAAGCAGAGCTTCCGACGTAGCATTTAGAGAAGTGTCACTTATTGATAAAATAAAATCGTCTCCTTCCAATTATATTGGTGATGGGGGCACAACGCTCATCTTAAAGAATCCAAATGCAAAACATAAGAAGCAACTTATTCTCTCAAAGTTCTGCTGATGAACTAAAAACTGATTTTCAACTATCGTGTTGCAGATCACTTCACTCAGATGCTCCACTGTGAACATGAGTGTGTCAGAGATCTCGCCACCCGACCAGGCCGTCTCTCACCCATGGAGAACTACCTGCCTCTGCACTACGACTACCTTCAGTTTGCCTACTTCCAGGGTAAGTTGAAGGTCTTCAACATGTTTTTTGGATTACTTCAAAAACACCCCTTGGACGTACATTCAGCCCTTTTCGTAATTCATTATCGTCATTTTTCCTATAACACTGTGTAGCACTGTGTATGCTTGGTGTAATTATGAACAAAGAAGATGGACACACCCGTAACTCGTACGCCCAAACACACACACTTGCACACACTCACACATGCACATTCAAGAGATCATGCTGACACGAGCTTCAGACAGGTAGAGTCATTCAACGATGAGCCACACCCTGTTAGAAGTTTCATATCCAGTATTATTGATATTATCTGATGTGCGTTTGTGTATCTGTCTGGATGACTTTCATATGGGTGTGTACCGTCTGAAGCCGGGGGTGTCAGGTGTGTGTGTGTGTGTGTGTGTGTGTGGGTACATGAATGAATGGATAGCCTCAGGTTTCTTATTGTCGATGGATTAATGAAAAGCTCTTCTGGGCAAGAGTGTTGGCACAAAACCAGAGTGTAGTTGAGAGGGACGGTGTGCTGAGTAGTTGTGAGATCACCAGATTATACTTAATGACCCATGAGCATGTGGCTCTGATAAAGAAAAGTGGATCATTGGGTCTGTGCAAACACACCGAGAGTGGGCTGTGATTCCTAACAGCCGCTGGTGGGTGTGTGTTTGTGTCTGTCGTTTTTGCCTGTGTGTGGGAATGGATGGAAGCCCGAAAAGATTTTTTGATAGAGTGTCTCAGTGTATTGTCAAAGTATTGTAAAAGTGGAAATGGTCCACAGCTCAGTGTGTATCCCTACTTAAAAGACTGATATACTTATATATTTTTTTTTCATTACTTTTCTATATTGATTATTTACAGCTGACATTTTTCATCAATAGCCACTCACTACTTTTGCATTTTGCCCCTGCTTTATACAATACTTTACCACATGAGATTCAAAGTGCATTCGCACGCACAAGGTTTTCAAAGGATATTATGCAAACATGCACTGGACTATGAAATTCAGTATTACCACTTTGAATGACTTTGCTGCATGTCTTTTGTTAGTCTTCTTTATCAAAGCGATGAGATTCTTTGAATCCTCTTATCCTATGGTTCATTTGGCTGCACTGTAAACAAATAAACCAGTTTTTTTGGAACTCATGTGTTGCAAAATCAGCCAAGAATTACATTTTAAGGATTATAAACTGAAGGTGTACATCCCTTAATATTTGAAAAAGGTTGAAAAAAGTTTAAAACATACAAAAGCTACAAAGGTGCTCGCAGAGTGCTCATTGAAAATGTGTATTTTTATGGTGTTACTGACTCTACGGTTCAACTTTACTGCACAAATACTAGGATGCCCCATCAAATTCAATACTCAATTTTCTTTTCCTGCCTTCACTTTAATAAACTGAATTGTGCAAAATATGTATGTGAACTTGCTGCAGCAGCCAAACTGGAAATCTGAGGCAGCTACTACTTGCCAATAATCAGTAATGTGAGTGCTCTAACATCCAGCAGCACTGCGACCCTGCTGGGTTTTACACTCCTCAGTGGCTCCACACCACACTGCTGGACGTTTGCCATCAGTCAGCAGCCGCTCATTGTGCTTTAGCTGCTAAAGTTTCCTAAATAAATCCTCAGTGACGTTTTTCTGTTTGACTGAGCTCAAATCTCCAGACTCTTATTGACCTGGTAAAACACAGCTGACAGGAGCAGATATGCTGCCTCAGCTTCAGCCAAGGCAGGAAGTCTTTGGTTAACCCTGCACCTTTACAAGCTAATAAAGAATGTGTTTGTGTGTGCGCTTAGCAGCAGCAGTGAAGAGCGGACGGTGTGTATTGGGTTACATATGTGTGATTGCAGGCAGGCAGTAGAGTATTATCCTGATGTATGTTTGTCTCACTTCATTCTCAACATCCTTCCCAACATGTGCTGTTTCCACTATGTCAGAGTGCAGCTTTTGCTCCATTGTAGTAATGGTTTTGGAATGTCAGCCATGATAGATTTCCCATATTTTGCTCACACTGGTCATTCAGTCCATCTAGTCGATAGCTCAGCATCTCTGCAGAAATGAGCAGAAACCCAAGGCAGCTCAACTGCACCTGGCATATTTGTGTGTGTGTGTGTGTGTGTGTGTATAATTATAGCTCCTTAAATTTGTCCGCATGTAAACTACGAAGAAAAACCATTTGAACTGCTTTCTGTCTCTCTGTCTCTCTGCAGTGGACAGGCTGGAGGAGGCGCTGCAGTGTGCGCTGAGCTACCTTTTATTCCACGAGGGAGAGGAGTTCATGACCGACAACGTGGATTACTATAGCGAGGTGCTGGGACACAACGGCGAACCACGAGAGGTCAGGATCTGCTCTGGGGACGTGGGGTGTGAAAGGGTTAGATGGTTTGAAGTGTGAGAAGGAGAAGAAGGATGTTTCTGTGGATGGATGGCTTGTTGATTCAACTTAATACTGTATTTTAGAGCACAGCTACACATGCCACAGCTTTACAAATTATTTAAACTAGAAAAGAAATAGAAAAGAATCAGCCTGTCTGACATTTTATAAAAAGCTGCTCCGAATTTCCCAGGGCTTCAATTACTACAACAACTTGTTCTCATTTTAGATTTAAGTTAAGTTGTTGGGATAGTTAGATGAAATGAGGAGGAGGGAAAATGTGGAGACAGGAGGCAGCAGTGGCGTTTGCTGTATTTCTTGGATGAACTTGCTACTCGCCGCTTGGCAGGAGTTGCCTCTTAAAGTTTGCTTTTCACTTGTATATGTTCTCCATCCAGCTGGAAGTATTAGGCAAATTTTTCTGTGCCAATGTGTTTACAACACATTTTTTGGAAGGGCATGCTCATCTTTAAATCCTTGCCCCATAACGTTCTGAGTCATTTAAGGCTGAATATTTGTCTGCCTGTCTGAGAAAATGAAATTTGCCCAGTCTTCAGCACTGAGAATTGCTCCTTCCTAAACTCTGATCAGCAGTGGCTTGTTTAAGTCCCAATTACACAACCTCTTTTTCCTAGAAAGCCTGGTACTCATTAGAGCGATTGAGGCTCCCAGCAGGACTGTGTGAACATGCGAGTGTGACACTGCACATGTGTGTTTGAGCTAAAGAGAAGCTGAGAGCTGAGATGTTGCAGCTCACGTTTATATTTTTGTACTCATAACTCGCATTTTTCTCACCCTCCAACCTTTCCGGCCCCGTCAGTTTTACGGTACAGTCGTTGGCCCGCAGATTGCCTCTGCTCTCTGCGTCCGTTCTCCCGCCAGCCTCGAGGAGCTCATTCACAGAGCCCTAGATCTCAGTGCCAGGCCCCGAGCTGCCTCCCTGCCAAAGAATCCTGCCTTTCAGGAACACTGGAGGAGGAGGAAAAGTCATGTCAGAGTGCCCACGGGAGTCTCAGGAACAATTTGTATTAAGAGTGATGCAAGGGAAGACTTTTCTTTTTTATACCACTCCACATGACCTCAAGCCCCAACTCCAACCCTGTTCTTGCAAACAGACAAAAATACAACAGGACAAATCATCCATACACAACCAGATTTCAACAGATCAATCAGCTAAAAGGAGCTTTTTACAGATATATTGGGATCAGTGTGTATTTGGATCAAATACCAAAGTTTAAAGTAATTCAGAAACTGTGTTCATTACATCATTAGTCCATCACTGAGCGCTGACATGTTTAATTATCAACTGTATAATGAATGCATATTATGTGATATATTGTTATTGAATTTTTAAACTTTGACACATCAGTGTCAGTAGTGGCTTCAAAGAACATTTGTCTCTACTGTAACAGTGAGCATGAAAATGATGCAAAAATGTGCAGTGTATTAGTTAACATAAAGAATTACCTTAAAGTTTAATTGTTTGAGAGAGTCTGTCAAAAGCCTTGCTTTTTATAGGTGTACAAAAAAGACAAAATATTAAAGATGAAAGATAAAGACAGAAAATACTTCCAAAAAAAGAGCAAAGAGGAGAAAATGAAAATGATTGTGACTCAAAACAAAGCTCCATATATAAAAAGTGAAGATGATGTAAAATGAAGATGTGTCTAAGGTGTGATATCTTCTCTAGAGTTATTTTCCTCCTGCTAATATCTCTCAAGCACAAAAGCATGCCACCTTAGCAACTAAGGAAATTGTTTACCATGGACCTTTGGTGTGTGTGTTTGTGTTCACAGAAAGCTGCATGGTACCTGAGGAGGCACAAACAGGAACTGGAGCTGCTGCTGATTGGCAGCAAAACAATGGGTGTTGAATTTACCGAAGGGGTGAGAATACAACTTTATCTCAGCGTGTTGCTGTTCCGTACTCATGTTTAACTAAAAACTCAAAGTGGACTGTGACTTATTGACAGACCAGTGCCCTTTAATCCTCAGTTTTTACCCTGAAATGAAAAGTGATTGTGTAATTTAACGGGCGGTTATTGGTAAGCCAGCCCACATGTCTCTGATGCAGAGCAGATCTCCTGCTGGGTGTGTAACAGTCTCAGTGTGGCCCTGCTGCCGGCTGACTCCAACCAGCGTAACAGGTGTCTGGCACATCTGCTCTGCACCACTGTCCTCTCATTCAACAGCGACCCCTGCTGGTCACATTCAAACATGGCATATTTCACTTTTTTTTGTACACAGCATTTATAAAATTACCTCTAGCGCAAATAATGGGATATACTAGTCAAATTAGCACCTCTGGTCTGGTGTATCATTGATGTAAATATTTACTGTTACTACTTTTATTTTTGAAAGTATGAAAGAAACATTTTCTTTTTTTGTAGAATTACTGGAGCAGCACGGGTGGAAGAGACGACTCAAACAGGTAAAAAAGATCACTGCAACTGTAAAACTGTAAAACAAGTTTCCCCTGTCATTGCTTTCCTCCTGTATATCCAGATGGTAAAAGCTATAATCAATACTTTTATACCAACAATAGATCAGATGTCTAATCAGAGCAGGGCGGGGGGGGTTGCTCTTTATCTGCTGGATGTGTAAATAAGCAACTGTTTTAGCAAGTTCACCATATTAACTCAAAGGGGGATAATATGTCAGCGTTTTGTTCACAGCTTTGTCTCACTGTCTCCAAGTGGCCAAAAAATTACTTATTGCGAGTTTAAAGATTGAAATCATGATTGCGTCCCCGCACAACAAAAATATATTTCCTGTTCTCTGCTCTGTCAGGATTCCCTCCGGTACAGACGGATGGATGGAGTATGTTCCCATCTCAGAGAAGAGGAACGTCACTGTTGCTGCTCCACAGCAACTCAATGAAGGTAAATCCTCACTGCCACCAGAGCTGAAGGGGAATGGGGAGTTTAACTGCTATGGTTAAGTCATTAGTGTTCATTTAAATCTTCTCTGCGCACCATAGTTGACATAACATGCTGCATTCTTTAAATGCTGCTCTGTGATCTGTGTAGGTGGCCCCTTGGTGTATGAAAGCGTGCAGCTGGTGCAGAACTCTGCAGCACTGAACGGGACCCAGCGGGTGCTGCTGGATCATGTTATATCTGAGGAGGAGTGTGCAGAGCTCAGGCACCTGGCACATGTAAGGCCATTACACAAAATTAATAAGATGGATTTTAATCACTGGAATTGTGATGAACAACAATAAAACTTGTTGTGTATGTTTTATTTTGGTTGAAAGCTTTAGCATCTCTTCAGATCTGAAAATCACACCTGACAGTCAAGTTCAGTGTGTGTACTTGAAGCTGAACTCTGGCTGTGTTCTTGTCCTCCAGGCTGTCACCATGGCAGGAGACGGTTACAGAGGGAGGATGTCTCCACACACTCCCAATGAGAAATTTGAAGGAGCCACTGTGCTTAAAACCCTGCAGGTACACTAACAGCTAAACATAATCTTAATTAATTATTTTCTTTAATGTTAAAAAAAACATACTGTTTAGTATCTCTCACACATTTTGGGCCTGCAGTTGATAATCAGTTGGGGACAAATGCTGGATCTAAAACTTAGAAGTCATTATTCAATCGAGCTGATCAATTGATTTATTGTTGGACAGCATGTTAGAGTGTCTTTGTTTCCTCCTCCCTGCAGTATGGCTATGAGGGCAGAGTGCCAATGAGGAGCGCTCGCCTCTTCTACGATATCAGTGAGCGAGCGAGACGCATCATTGAGTCCTACTTCCTGCTCAACTCCACCCTGCATTTCTCCTACACACACCTGGTGTGCCGGACAGCCATCACAGGTCACTCACACACAAACACAGACATACTTACCATATGATATGATGTCTTTAACCGATACTCCTAGTGAGGGTGAAGGAAAATGAGCTCAACTGCAAAGTCTTATGTCATTTTTAAATCTATTTTATTGTATCTCATTGTCACTTACTTACTTGATTTGTCCTTTTCTTCTTAGCTTATCAGTCATCTGTGAAGCACTTTGAACTGCACTAACCTGTATGAAAAGTGCTGTACAAATAAAGTTTGATTTATTGATTGATAAGGAAAGACACTGAGACACTGCAATGCACCAACAGTAGATTTAATAAACGTCCCTGCTATCCTTGATGGTTCACATAAGGAACACATGGTTGGTTCATGGATGGTTCACATTACACATAATATATGAAAGGGTAGTGGTAAATAGTTGTAGTATAATAATAATAATAATAATAATAATAATATCCGGGAGGGAAAACACTGAACTATTATTTTCTGTATAGATATGTATTTATGCTTTTTGTGCCTTTTGTTGTTGTTTTGTTGTTTTTAGGCCAGCAAGACCACAGGAATGACCTGAGCCATCCCATCCATGCTGACAACTGTCTGCTGGACCCCGAGGCCAATGAATGCTGGAAGGAACCACCAGCATACACATACAGAGACTACAGGTACAGTATGAGGCCACATAAAAGAAAAAAATATACTTTGCTGCTGCTGTTTTACATGTATCAATGGTCACTATCAGATCCCTTCATTTAATGTTGAGTCTGTGTTGACCTTTACTTTTCTTTTTTTTTTTTTCAGTGCACTATTGTATCTGAATGGAGATTTCGAAGGAGGGGAGTTCATATTCACAGAAATGGATGCTAAAACAGTCACAGTAAGCTGGTTCACATTTGCTTCTATATGAGATATTTGAAAATGGCTCTGGTTACTGTAGTGCGGGGCCATTCTGTATGCTTTATATTTATGCAGGTTAATTATCAATTTACTACAGTCACAGTGTATTTTTTAAAAAGCTGGGATTTGACCGTCTGGCAGGACAAGTCAATGCACCAATACCAAAGATAACAGTCATCACTTTCATCCTCTCCAGGCATCAGTGAAGCCCAGGTGCGGCAGGATGGTGGGTTTCTCATCAGGAGGGGAGAATCCACACGGCGTGAAGGCCGTCACCAGCGGGCAGAGGTGTGCTGTGGCTCTGTGGTTCACCCTGGACCCACTCTTCAGAGAACTGGTAAACGCCTGTATTTAAAGTACTTTTCCAGCAGTGTTGGCCCTGAGTAATAGTCATACTCTAAGTTCATCTTAATTTTTATTCCAGTTTTGGCTCAAATACAAGTTGTTGTTATCATTATAGTTCCAATTATTAGTTCTTAATTTTTGTGAGCTATGAAGGGAATTTCCTTTAATCAGACAAAGATTTGCGTACATAATTTCCTTAAGCCGTCAGGGCAGCCTTGTTGATCCTTTCAATCATCTGGACAAGGCAGCTTTAAATAATCAAAGCTTATCTTTTCAAATCATAAACATGGCAGAGATATTCCCTTCCTATATAAATAAGAGGCCATAGATTCACTGTGTGCCCAAATCAAATTCTAATGTTAGTTCTGAACACTGGTGAGAGACTTGAAATTGTTATTCCACATCACATTGACTAATTTGAACGGAAGGAATGCCTAAAACTTTTCTCCTTGAAAATCAAACTCATTTTTCCTCTTTATCCTTTGCTATTCCAGATGTTCCTTAATTTCATTTCTCCCTTATTTTTTTATTTATTTATTTTTTCTTCCCTAGGAGAGACTGCAGGCGGATGAGGTGATCCAGGCATTGGACACACAGTCTGTGTGGGGACAGGGCCTCAGCATTAACCCTAAAGATGAACTGTAGAAGCAGAAAAAACAGCTTTGCCCCCCCCCTCCCCCCAAAATCAAATCCTTCTATATATTTTAACTATTTATTGAATGACCTTTGGATCAGAACATTTCTATTTTTGTACTGTTTGAAGTGCAAGATCAATAATATTGACATTTTTGTGACGTATGTTTGTTTTGTTTCATGTTTCTTTACACACCAGTACTTGAGTTTACCTTTGGTTCTTTGTCTTTCCTTCCAGTGACAGCCTCGGGTTAAGAAAAAGTCTGATTCACTTTGTCTTGTTTGTACTTGGTGTTTCCTCTGAAGACTGTTTCTACCTGTTGTCTCACTGAACTGTGAAGAAGCCAAAGAGAAGAACAGCAGACACTGTTCTGCTTTGGGTTTTACTTGTTCTTATTCTGGTCAAAGTATTCAGTGGGCGTTATTCAAAAACACAATGTACACTTATTAAAAAATAGCTTAATTTCACTGGTCAGTAGTTCAAGATAACATTAGATTTGATCTTCACAAATGATACTGTTACATATGCTATTATTATTATTTTATTTTTATTTTTTTCCGTGCCAGTAATAATTATTTTCAAAGTAGGCAGTGCACTGTTTTTTTCTAATTTGGGTATCTCTGAGTCTCAAATAACACTCATTTAAAAAACTCTTAAAAAAAAAAATAACAAAGAGATATGTTCGAAATATGCTGAATATTTAATGATCATGCACTCTGTCCTCTGTGTGTCAAGTCTGAAACTGAAAATGTCTTCTGTCACTACTTTGTTCACTTTTCCTTTTGTTGTGATAAATCACTCCTCTCCTAACTGGGCACACAGAGCAGAATACTGGTTTACATGTTCACTGACATGAGGACGTGGTGTGTGTGTGTGTGTGTGTGTGTGTGTGTGTGTGTGTGTGTGTGTGTGTGTGTGTGTGTGTGTATGTACGTTTTATGTTTTACTTTTATTTATGGGTTTTTAATAATAGACAGCTGCAGTTGTAACTGTCTGCATTTAATATGATGAACTTTTATTCATAAAAGATGTCAATCATTCCTGTTTCAAGGAATACATATTTGTTAAGGTCTTTTATTTCTTGATATTTGTGTTGATGATACAGATGATAGGCCGAGTCGTGCACTGTAAATCCAACGGAAAGAAACAAACAAAGAGTAGCTTTGTTTTTCTGCATAGATTTAAAATGCTAACCGGAAACTTAATCCTGTCGTTTTATGAGGTTGGCCACTTTTGTTTCACTGATGTTTTATTTTGAAATGCTGTAGCAAACAAAAATGTATGTGTACATGCCTATAAATTAAAAATATTCTAAATCTATATTCAATTGTGTGTTTTTGTTTTATTTTTTCATGTTTTACTGCATAACATTTAACCTCATTCATTCAACTAAAACTGAAAAATTCTTTTATTCATATTATTCATAACAGTAGTTTCTTCTTAAAGATATATATTTATTTCCTTTACAGTTAAATCAGTTCATGTAACCTCTTACAAAGTAAAGTATCCTTGTATTATATATATGTAACCAAATACTCTCTGATCAAAGGCATACAGTAAGAAATGGTTCTGCCCTTGTATTTAAGCTGCACATCACTGCAGTTTGTTAAGAGCTCCATTTAAATTAAAGTGCACCTGCCTGTAAATACAGCAAAAAAAAAATCATTCACCTATCACACATATTTTTCACACTGAGTAGAGGTCACTGTGGTAAGCTGTTTTTAAGAAATGTGCTTTAACAGCAAAGAAATAGAAAGGTTAAAACAAAACCCTAGCAACAACTACAGACAGAATAATGTATGTATTATGTTTCACACCAAGTCTTGTGTTGTCCAGACTGTAATTAAATGAACAGATCTGTAGCATCTGAATGGACTCTAATCCAGTTTCAGGTGATGCTGTGTGAACTCAGCGGTCATGGTGGGTGTGTGCGGTTCAGAAGCGGTAGGCCAGCTGCTCTGTGAATCTGAATGGCTTGGTTTCATTGACAGTACACAGTAGGTCCCGCATGCGTCTCGCTCGCCGCTCCTCCAGCACTAACCTGCGGGAGCGTTCTCGAGCCGCCTGCTGCTCTGCTCGCTTCTCCGCCCGCTTTCGCCTCACCCACCTGAGGACGGACAATGTCAGAACAAATGGTTTTGATACCAAATTTAATGTTAGAATATAAAGTGAAATATTGCCAGATCACATTGAATACCTGGGCACAGAAATGTAAAAGCCCACTTTTAGTATAAGTATTCAGTATTACTACAAGCGGCCACTTCAAAAGAGCCTCCAGCCCCGAGGCCCTGTGGACCTTTGGGCCCTGAGCCTGTGACCAGTGGGTCATTTCAGTAATTTCTGTAAGTACTCTCTCCTCCTACACTTGCTGGGATTTTTTGCCTGCTCACTGAATGAGGACAGTAGGTTCTACCAGCAACTGAGCAACAAGTGACCTTTATCTAAGCTGCAATTTCAACTGAATGCCAACAGAGGTCAGGAAAGATGAGTCTCCTCAGTGCAATGTGTAATTATTTGAGTGGTTGAGGTAAAAAATGCCAGATGATAAATTGTGATGTTATTTGATTTGAAAGGGTTAAAAGGTTACTTCATAATTAGTTGAAAATGTCAAAAAAATAATGTAATAATAGTTATGTAATTCATCAAAAAAATCTAAGGGTTTATTACTACAGGCCTTGAATGAAAAAGCCAAAAGGATAAGAATTAACTCACAGTTTGAAGGCACGTTCACACTCCTCGCGGCTGCGTAAGAAGTAACCACTGTCCTCCTCGAGCTTCTTCAGCTCCACCAGCTGTCTCTCTTTCTGCTGCTGGTCCTGCTTCCTCTGAAGCCACAGTCTGAAGGCCTCCTCCGAGTCACTCTGTGAAGAGTCTCTCTGTGTGAAGAAGTAGAAATGAATGTAGTGGGCTAATAAAATTGAAACAACAGTAAACATTCATAATGCAATGTTTTGAATGGCTCTGATTAGTGTTATAAATTGCTTTTCCTTAAATTTTATGTGAGTGAGGTTTGAGTCTGTAGGATTGCTGGTCTGTTTATGATAGCACAGACGCCAAGTTTTTCTTCTTCTGGGTATAACAAATAAACCATTGTCAGTACCCCAGATAAAACAATCTCTGCAGAGGTTTCTTTTCCTTACCTGTATTGTAAGAAATACAGTAAAAAGGTGTTTTAAATAATATATGTTTTTGTGCACTCTGTATGGAATATATGAAATGCTGCGTTATATTAGCCAGGTACAGAGTGGTTGAAAATGTAATGGTTAACTTTAAAATATTGTGGATGATATTTTTATTTCTGTTTTGTAACAATAGGTTGACAGTTAAATGTTGTGCACCCTCTAAAATCAGAATACAGCACATCTTGGTACCTAAATAAATTCTGTATTATTATCTTATCTTATGAATATCTATGTTTTCACTTTGAAACTCTGAATCAAGGCTTCACTCCTGTAGGTTATAGAACTTGAGGCCTAGTGCTTGTTCAATAGAAAACAAATTAAATTACACTAGTGACAGGAACCTGAGAGGATAGTGGTTGACTAATCAATACAAATAATTACTAATATCTAAGAAAAACAAAAATAATCAAATGACCAGCCACAGAGTTGTAGCCCACATACACTGTTGATGGGCCTACTTCTGAATGTTTGTATAAATATAAACTGGAAAGTTATATAAAGTGTATTTTTGTGTTTTAGTAGGCTGGTGTGCCCCCTCGTAGCCATACCTTAGAATTCATCTTTTCCATCTCCTGAGCTCGTTGGATCCTTCTCTCCTCCTGAAGCTGGTCTCTCTTCCTCATCAGCCAGGCCTTGAATGCCAGCTCGTTCTCCTGCCTCTTCTGCTCCTCTTCCTCGCGTTTCATCTGCTCTGCCTGACAAGAGTGATTAAAAACCTGATTCAAGTAATTATCAACTAGTGGAAATATAAATATGATGCATATGCAATTCTGTTATTTGTTGATAAATGTACTATTTTAGTGGTACAGAATTTACAAACTACTGATCAACTGTATCACTTCTTTCTTACCTCTCTAGCCAGCTTTTCCTTCCTCTCCTGGATCCTGTTCAGCAGCTCTTTCTGTTGGGAGGAGAGGGTGTAGGTGGTCTGGAAGGGTGTCCCAGTAGCTGACTGCACCCGCCGCTTGCTGCCTCTCATCTGGCTCCCTCTCTGGCTGTGGCTGGCTGAGCTGGGCCTGCTCTTGGGCTGCGATGGAGGTCTGGGGGCCCGGAGGTGATCAAAGTCCTGCTGGAAGGGGGAAGAGCCGGCACGAGAACGAGGAGAGGAGGAAGAGGAAGAACTGTGGATCTTACTGGAGCTCACAGTCTGTGGGGACGAGCCGGAATAGTCGTTGTAGTTGTTTGTGATAGGAGGGAGAAGTCCTTGACTCTCCACCTCTTTCAAGCTGACCAGGTCAAACTTTCCATCTTTTTCTACAAGGACTCTGCCCTCCTTTACCTCCTGCCCTCCATAACTGCTCTCCCCAGCCCTGCCAGATCCTCCAGATCCTACTCTTTCGTCCCGCAGGGAAAGTTTTAGCTCAGAGAGCTTCCCTGAGACTTCAGTCTCTACCTCTGTATCCTTTGCTCTATCCTTGTTCTCGTTTCCCCCTTCCACCTCACTGCTTTTGCCAAACTGCAGCGGAGGCACCACCAGGTCCACCAGCGTCTCTTTAAAATGCAGGCGCCTGCGCCTCGTCATATCTGGAGCTTCCTGGTCCTGCAGCTCCCGGTTTGCCTGCTGGATCTTATCCAGAATGTACCTCTTCTCCTCATCTGTCTGGTCATCCATCCCTGGAGGAGGTGGGACTATAGGTGATGACTTATTTGGGCTGTCTCTGTCAGAGTCATACTCCAAGGGCTCCATAGGTGAAGGCCACCTCTCTTCATCTTCCTCTAACTCCTCTGTTTTGTTGCCTTTCTTCTCCTCTTTGTAGCTTCTCTCCTTTCGTTTCATTCTTTGCTGTTTCTCATCCTCCTCCAATTCTTTGTCAATGTCTGCCTCAATGTCATCGTAGTCAGGACCCTGTGGGGTGGAAAAGGAAGAGGCACACTGCATTCATTGTTTGGATGTAAATGAATGAGCAGCATCAATACCTAGCAGGTAATAGGTGTGCTAGTGTGATAACAGCCATGTGTAAGTGTGTTCATCAATATTGCATCCAGCAGTGGCACAGTGAAAGTATGTCACTGTATGTCAACAGAGCAGGTTTCACATGCAAATAGTGAGATGTGCCAGGTCAGGTAACTCAACACTATTCACTGTCACACTTTCACAGAGCAGGGTCAGGGACCCATTCATCACCCAGTCTGCAGTAAGTAGATCGAATAAAACAAAGAAGCAGGGTGATAAAAAAAAAAAAAAAACTGAGTGAAAGCAGAAAGAAGAGATCGAATCAGTCTGCCCAGTGGTCTCATATAAATCGTACTTTGCACAGTGAGGCCTGACTTACCTGGTCCTCACTCCGGCCTTCCTCACTGATCAGCCAGTCCAGATCCTTCTCAAAGTCATCCTCATACTCCTCCTGGGACTTTGTGCAAACCACCTCACTCATAATCTACCACTGGGAGAAGATCAGAGACAAAATGGAGGTATGATTTTTGCCACACTAGCTGCTAGACCTAAGAAAAGTCACAACAGCCACTCAGTCCTAAGCCAGATCTGGATCTTGTTTTCTCTAACATAGAGCAAGTAGAGCCACAGACTCACATTTTTTGTATCTGGTAGATATGTCTTCGTCATTTTAACCATTCAGCCACTCTGGTTAAAATCAAGGAATTGAACATTCAGTCCAAGGTGTGTAGTCTTTTATTGTCTGGTTTATCTAATGACAACCTTGACATCTTGGTATATCCAGAAGTATAGCACTGACTTCAAATTCCACCAATCAAGAAACAAAGAGAGATGTGAATATGGCCAAAGAAATATATTCTTCAGTGATGATGTTTAAACAAATTTACCTACATAAAAAACTATGCCATGAATTTTATTGTTGAGGTGCATGATATAGTAAATAGCCAACTATAAAACAGTAGTTACAATAAATATTTTTAAGTAAATTTAACCGAAATTGATCGGCACTTTGATGTACACATATATATTGTATTACATTGTGGTGACCAGAGTCCCTAGTTGTTTACCACTCCAATGTGACCTCATTTAATCAAAGTGTGAACAGCCCAGAGAGGTACATATCTGGTACTGTCTACCTGTCAGTAGAGTCACTGATGTATGTGGGATGAGTGGCAGTGTTGGATATCCTATGACCTGTGTAACTGAGAATCTAAACTGACAGACAGTAAACACTCTACAGCACAGCGAAGGCCAGCATGTCCCATCACGTTCTCTCTAATTGGATTATCAAAATAGCATCGCATAAACCAAATTTCAAGGCAAATATTGTGCAAAAATTATGCTTTTAGTTTAGTTATTGTGTTACAGAGCATTGAAGAACAGTTGATTTTTTTCATCACTGTGACACCAATTGCATTCAGTCCAACTATAGATGGGGCTAATTTATGTAAGCTAAAGTAGAATCACATAAACTCATCCATTGATAGCAGCCCCACCACACCACAGTTTGTTTATGGGTTAACTGTGCGCTTGGTTGCCACCTAGTGGACCACAATCAGTACTGTAGGGTGGGCAATAAACTATTATGCTTGTTTTTTGTCACACATATTCCCTATCTGCTTTCACGTAGATTATGCTTACTGTAGTTTATCTGCATTTCTGTTGTAAAATCCAGTTAAACTGGCTGCAAGGCAGGATGTAACACAAGAAGATTGTGTAATCCTATTTATTTTCATACCTCTGTGGTTTATAAAAATAAACAGGACAGAAATGATAAATAGGACAGTGAACTGTAGAGCAGAGTCTACGCCTATATGACTCATATAAATCAAAGTTTTGTCTATTTGGAATAGATAGCAGTACAAACTGAGGCACCAAGGCTGTTAAACTCACCACCAGCTGTTCCCTGCGTAGTACTCCTGTTTAGTTAAAAGCGGCGAAAGACGACATCCAGCCAGGTTGTTTGGTGACTATTTCTCCATCTAACTGGCCCACATAGTGCTTGGCAGTCTGCGAAACAACACCTGAGCACATAATCTGCTTCTACTCCCTCTGCAGTCCTAAAAGGTTTAATGGACCCGTCGTCATAGAGACCTACAACACGCTTTACTACTTGCGCATGCGCGGTCAGGGAGCAGTAATTTACAGTCCATAAAAATCTCCATATACATACTGTAAACAAAGGTATACACCCAAATACCCTCCAAAAAAAATCTGGAAGCATCTTTTAAAATATGATTACAACCATAAAATACTGTCTGTGTGTTAATTTTACATATGAATAGTCAGTTATGTCATCGTGAGAGAATGAATGTATTATTGAATACAAGGATCACTTTAACTACTTTCTGTTATTCAATCTATAAAAATAAAGCATTAAACTAAAATTGATCTGGTCCAAAGAAATGGATCAGATTAGATATACATATTTATGTATATTTGTACAAATTTATACAGTATGTATATATTTATAAGGCCTTTACGGTGCATTAATACCTCTCTTGCAGGGAGGAATAGATAAAAGTTGCAGATAAAATAATACAAAACCTGACAATCCAGCAAAAAACTTTTTTCCAGATAGCGAAAATTATTTCTAAGGCATAAAAAGTCACAATAACGTCATAGTATAGAAGGCATAATAACGTCGGAGTAAATTCAGGCATAATAAGTCATGAAAACGCCATAGTATAGTAAGGCATAAAAAGTTATGAAAAGGTAATTGTATAAAGAGTCATAAAAAGTCATAAAAATGTCATAGTATAGTGAGGCATAAGAAGGTCATAATATAGTAAGGCTTAGAAGTCATAAAAACGTCATAGTATAATAAGACTCAAAAACATCATAGTATAGTAAGGAATAAAAGTCATAAAAATGTCATTGTATATTTAGGCATAAAAATGTCATTGTATATTAGGGCATATAAAAATTCATAGTATAGTAAGGCATAAAAGAGGCATACTAACGGAGGAGGAGGCATTAAAACGTCATAATGTGGTATGGAATAAAAAGTCACAAAAACGTGATAGTATAGTAAGGCATAAAAAGTCATAAAATTGTCATAGTATAGTAAGGCATAAACACATCATAGTATAGAAAGGTTTAAAAACGTCATAGTATAGTAAGGCATGAAAACGACATAGTATAGTATGGCAAAAAAAAGTGAAAAAACGACATAGTATAGTATGGTAAAAAAAAAAAGTGAAAAAAACAACGTAGTATAATGAGGCATAAAAACATAAAAACGTCATACTATAGGAAGGTTTAAAGACGTATTAGTATAGTATGGCAAAAAAAGTGAAAAAACAACATAGTATGATAAGGCATATCAACATCAAAAAACAACGTGATATTATAGTAAATTATGAAAACGTCATAGTATAGTAAGGATTTAAAAGTAAAAAAAACGACATAGTATAGTATGGCAAAAAAAGTGAAAAAATGGCAAAGTATAGTATGGCAAAAAGAGTGAAAAAACAACATAGTATTATGAGTCATAAAAACATCAAAAAACATCATAGAATATTAAGATATGAAGCCGTCACAGTATAGTA